CCGGGGTACCCGGTGCCACGGGGCAGCCGGACCTGCCGTAGGCGTGCGGGACTCCCTCCGCGGTGCCGGACCGACAGGGACGGCGCCCGTTCTAACGAGCCTACTCGCCGGTAGCCACGAGTGTCTCAATTCTTCAGACTTACGGGGGGAGTAACCCAAATTTGGAAAAGGAATTCAGAAACTTTTGCCCTCCACATGTTATTTTAGCCCAGATCACTGTAACCGACAGCCTGACTGTGGCCAGGTGCTGGCTGTGCTCACAGCCTGCCATTGCCATAGCATGCCCGCAGCTACCTTTTCTTTATAGACTAACTGACGCGGGCTCGGCATGGGCTTACCTAGTGTGCCCCAAGCCTCCCATGGCACTTACTGTGGGAGTAACGTCACAAAAGGATAGTGGCAAATGAGCGGTCAGTCATGCTTTGGAGGGGAGATTGATGTTTCAGCCGTGTTGCCTGAAGCAGTGCTGTAGTGGGTCCTGTAATGGCAGCCCAAGAGCGGTGATGGGCTGACGCATCCCCTTGAGCACTGGGCCTCACTGGGGGAACACGCTTCGCTTCTGGTCAGAGCATCACCTGGGGACATGTCATAGCACTGCAGAGCAAATGCGTGGGATACAAGCCTACCTTCAAATGACTGAAGGCAGGAGAAGATTGCGTACATTTCTATCAATGGGTGAGCTTGGGTGGTTTTGCCGTGTGGATATCCCTCCGCTGATACCACAGGGATTGTTGAAGATGAGAGACGGAAGGAAAAGAGACAAATACAGTTTGAACTCTGCATTCTATGTTTTGTTTAGAGAACTTTAATAGTTCTGGCTACGTATGTACACTGTGTCCACTCCCCAAAAATCCCAGAAATGCTGCAAACTCCAATAGAAACTGCTGTCTGCTGGCTCTTAGTTGATTCCAGAAAGTCAGACATAAAAATTATTTGGCCTAAATAGATGAACCTGTCACAGGGGCTGACACTCAGAGAAAACCCTGAAAGTGAGGCTGAAATCAAAGCTAGGAGCTGTATCCTCCTGGTTTCTCCTCCTCACTTTGCCCCTGACCAGTGTTAACACCTTGGGGAGGTGCTCATCTTTTCTGTTTCTCCACCTGCAAGGCAGTGTTCAGCAATTTATCTCCTAAAGCTTTCTGTGGAGGTGATTATATTAATGTGCAGAGAATTGAGGCTTTTGAAAATCTTCACTGTAGCAAATTTTTAAAGACATTGAATAGTTTTTTTGCCTACCTTCCTTCCCTTGGCCTTTTGAAAGATACATTCTCAGTATCCCTGAATACAGGTAGGTTTCCCCTCCTCCCTATTGCCCTTTCTCTAAGCACACGTCTTTCTGATGCTGTTTCAGGCTGGTCTTACTACCTTCTTACGAGGACTGAGGAAAAGTACTCCCTTGAGCAAAAGCAAGTCAGCTCCCTGTGGAATGTGATCGTAAGAGCCAAGGGACAGGAAATCGGGCAGGAGCTGAGGTGGGAGATGAAGGCCCATTGTGAAAAATAAAAATGCTGTTCAGTGCTAAACCACATTAAATCAATTGCAAAGATGAAGTCACCAGTAAATTTATTATTTCGGGTACATTTCCCCTTTGTGATGAAAACCTGGGGGGGGAGAGAGGGATAACAGTTTCAAAAAAAATCCAAACATTAAATCTGTTAACACAGTCTTATCCACTGAAGGCTAAGAATAACCCCTTAGCAGTTGCACAAACTGAACTAGCAGTTTTCTTTCTTAATTGCAAGTGTAACAATGTACAATTCTAGAAAAAGAAACCACTCAGGTTAGACATCTAAATCTATTTATTCCCTAATGAAATAGATGAGGTCACATCTGTATACGTGTGCTGGTTTTGGCTGGGGGGGGGTTAGTTTTCTTCACAGTAGCTGGTATGGGGCTGTGTTTTGGATTTGTGCTGGAAACAGCGCTGATAACACAGGGGTGTTTTCGTTGTTGCTGAGCAGTGCTGACACAGAGTCAAGGCCTTTTCTGCCTCTCACCCCACCCCATCAGCGAGCAGGCTGGGGGGGCACGAGAAGCTGGGAGGGGACACGGCCGGGACAGCTGACCCCAACTGACCCAAGGGATATTCCACACCATATGGCGTCATGCTCAGCACATAAAGCTGGGGGAAGAAGAAGGAAGGGGGGGGGACGTTCAGAGTGATGGCATTTGTCTTCCCAAGTCACCGTTAGGCGTGATGGAGCCCTGCTGTCCTGGGGATGGCTGAACACCTGCCTGCCCATGGGAAGGAGTGAATGAATGCCTTGTTTTGCTTTGCTTGCATGCGCGGCTTTTGCTTTGCCTGTTAAACTGTCTTTATCTCAACCCACGAGTTTTCTCACTTCTACCCTTCTGATTCTCTCCCCCATCCCACTGGGGGGGAGTGAGCAAGTGGCTGTGTGGGGCTGAGTTGCTGGCTGGGGTTAAACCATGACAATACGCTACTGAGTGTTCCAAGAAAGATGCAGAAAAGATGTAGCTATCTTGAGGATATCTCTGATTGCCATGTTAATGGATCATTCACAATGCTCATTAGTCCCCTGTTGCTTTCATTTAGCATAATGAGCCACACTGAAATGTATTTATTTTTTGATTAAAGCAAATGGTGCTGACAGCAGACATGGCCAGGGGAAGGGAGGCACTTTATCTTGGGAAACATGCTGTAGAGCAAAACAATATCAGAATCCTGAGTGCACAGGGCCTTAGTGGCCCTGACCAGCCTCACCCGGCTCTTACTCTTTCCCTCAGGACAAGGAAGCCAGGAGCTGAGGGTGACCACAACACAAGCCAGGCAAAGACCTCACCAACAGGGCACAGTCTGGCCACACCAGAGGAAAGCAAGCAGAGCAGTGGCAGCAACAGGTCCAGCGGTCCAGTGACCATCAGGCAAAGACAAGGTAACAAGCCATTTCCAAGGTCAATCCAGAAACCCAAACAGCAATTTAGGAGCGGAACTAGCAGCAAGGACACCTACAACTCACCTCTGTCTCTGTCCTCCCAGCATAAGAAAGACATGGACCTGTTGGAACAGGCCACAGAGTGGCCTGTTACTTGTGAATATTTATGTTACATGAATATAACAGGCTGAGAGAGCTGGGGTTGTTCAGCCTAGAGAAGAGAAGGCTCCAGAGAGACCTCATGGCAGCCTCCCAGTACTTAAAGGGGGCCTACAGGAGAGATAGGGAGGGACTCTTCATCAGGGAGCATGGTGATAGGACGAGGGGTAATGGTTTTAAACTGAAAGAGGGTAGATTTAGATTAGATATTAGGAAGAAATTCTTTACTGTGGAGGTGGTGAGACACTGGCACAGGTTGCCCAGAGAAGCTGTGGATGCCCCCTCCCTGGAAACATTCAAGGCCAGGCTGGATGTGGCTTTGAGGAACCTGATCTAGTGGAAGGTGTCCCTGCCCACGGCAGGGGGGTTGGAACTAGATGATCTTTAAGGTCCCTTCCAACCCAAACCATTCTATGATTCTATTTTATGAATCTACTCAAAGCCCGAGCTTAAATGAAGTCCCCATCAGAGGGTGTGGGTGGAAGCCCCAGCTGAGGCTGGTCAGGGCAATTAAGGCCTGTTAGTGCAGTCAAGGCCCTGGCAATTGATGGATAGGAGGTCAGGCTTTGGGATGAAAGGAAGGATGCTAAATTTTTCAGGTGTGTCAGAGATGAGGGTCAGCACATGTGTAAATCTTTGTGAGAAAAGGTAAGGACAGGTTAATGAAATGATTGTAATTTTTTTTTAATGAGGAGGAGAGAATTTAAATATATTGGAGTGTTTTCCTGTTTATATCATTATTTTATATTAGGTTGATTACAGTAGTTTAGGAAATTACTGCTCATTTGTAACTAAAACACAATAGGTCACCACATGCATGCTCTTACTCTGTCAAAATTGAAAAATAAACTCACCGTCATGATGAGATTAAGTCCACACATTCATTCTGCAGTTAGAACAGGTATACAGTGGTTGCCATTGTACGTCAGCTGTGACCTTGCTTTCAGCCATCCGCTCATAATTTAAAGTTCCTATAAAGTAAGGCACTCTCAAGAAAATATTCCATGCGCGAGCAGCAACTTGTTCGTACTCTCACTGTGTGCTCCCTCAAACTTCAGCAGAGTAAAATGTGTATTTAGAAAAATTAAGGCACTTTGAATAATACTAGTCTTCCTAACCCTCAAGTGAGAGAGAAACTGGAGTACAGTCTGCATAGTACTGTGAGTTAAATTCCTATATCTAGGTTTGCTCTGACTATTAATGTT